AGAGAGAGAGAGAGAGAGAGAGAGAGAGAGAGAGAGAGAGAGAGAATGAAAATAACTGTACCTGGAGAATTAGCTGTCTATTTTAAGTATATTTCTTGCTTTTGGCTTTAATATCAAGGGATTCTGTGTGCAGGTCTGGCTGCAGGATACAGTTGCGTGTAATAGATGCTAAAGAGAGTGGCTATGAATGAAGTTACTGGGAATAAAAAGAGGAAATAAAGTTGCTGATACCAGACTCTGTGCCCCAGCAACGGATTTCCTCTAAACATTTTGAGCACCAGTCTCACTTGTTTTGGAATTTTACTTGCTCTGCTTATTTTTTGAGTAGCAATTAGTATTTATTAACTTTTGGTGCTAATAATATTTAGGAGTGAGCAAGAGGAACATCAAAAGAGAATGCCAAGACTATTTTTTGTGTGTCCTGCATGCAAAAGCCTAGCATCACTGCGAGTAATATCATTCATTGTGTATCTCTCCATCTCACAAATCTGTATTTTGAACCTACTATATTTTAAACATGGTGGTGGGCACCCAGGGAAGCTCTGTGAACCAGGTAACTATCGTCGCTGATTTTATGCATCTTCCACTCCTGTGGGAAATGCAGAAAGTACGTAAGGGAAATGAAAATGTTGAAGTCCAGAATACAAATGGAACTGACAGGAGAAAATCAAGTGTACTGCAACGGTCACAGAAGATTCCTCTGGGAAAGAAGCACTGAAGTGAAGTACGACTGGATCAGACTTAGCAAGGTGGAGAGAGGTTGTATACAGGGCCTCATGTGATCGCCTCTGCCTGGCTTGCAAACCTCATCATAAGCAACTTTGCTTTTGATCACCTGTTCCTCAGCCGCTTCCTCCAGCTGCATGGCTGAACATTGTATTCTACACCTGTTCCTTCTTTGCTCTCTTTGTTAGATTTCTTCTTTCCTGATTGCCTTCAAGCCATATAAGACTGAAGAAGGAAACAAATATATCTGATATCACTTTTGCCTTTGTAGTTCTTAGGACAATGCTTAACATATATATTAGTTATGTCTTAAATATTTGTTACATAAATGGATGGATAGAAGAGGCAGCTTACAACCCTGAATGGGAGATAACATGACACACAGGGGGAAGGAAAGAAAACTATTCTGGCTGTATCATGAAAGAAAGAGTAGAGTGGTAGGATGAGGATGAGGAAATAGATCAAATTCCAATGTTGGCCTTTTAGAGCACTTTATAAAAAGTGTTTTTAGTGAGTCTTGAAGTCAATTCAGTGGATTGCTACAAGAATTTAAACAAATGAGCTAGAATAAAAATCAGGGGGCATTGTTTTTAGTAAAAACTTTCTCCCATGTTTAATTTATGCATTATATTGTGGTAGAGAAAGCTTTACCTGGTTTCATTTGCAGTAAATGCATAGGAAAGCCACGTTGCAGACCATGTTAAGGGCTTCCCATTTCTATTATAGGAACAGGAGCTCAGGGAAAATTCTTTCATAGTATTACGAGCTTTCCTTCACACTGAAGACATTAATCATAGAAAGTGTTACTGCTTTTAGCAATGTTAAGTATCAAGCTGGGCTGCATTTATTGCCGTGGCTGAATTACTCATTATGTTTCTATTTTCTTTTTCTTTTGTGGTATTAGGGATTGATCTCAAGGCCTTCACTTTGATCTATATCCCCAACCCTTTTTAGTTTTTTTCTTTTTCTTTTTTTTTTCTTTTGCAACAGGTCTTGGTAAATTGCTAAGATAGAACTTGCAGTTACCCAGCTTTAGCTTCGCAAAGTGCTGGGATGATAGCTATGCACCATGGTGCTGGCAACTCATTAAGTTTCTGGAAGGCGGGGTCTGTTCCTTACTCAGCTCTGCATTTCCATTGCCTAGTACAGAATAGATAGTTAGCAAAGATCTGTTTGTTGAGTAAATGAAACATTCTCTTGCATAAAGCTACTGTTCATTGACTGAATGCAGGTTGAACTCAGCAGATGCTCTTTTGCTATGCCACTGTCTTTAGATAGATAGATAGATAGATAGATAGATAGATATTGCTAGAGTTTGAATGGGGGGCATGCACGCTAGGCAAGTGCTTACCACTGAGTGACACATTCAGCTTACAACATGAAAAACTTTGGTGAGAATAATTACCACAGTTCTGTTTACTTTTTGAGGTTCCAGTCTGGGTATCGTCAAGTGTAGCATGTACAGGGCACAAGGGTTTCATAATACACACTGTCTTTTTACTGTTTGTTGCCAAGAGCCTTGTATAGTGCAAAGTATTGGCTTCTGTTGGATGACAAATCAATCAAAATTTTCCTATTACCCACAGTTGCAACAATAATTACAAAACAATACAACTTTCAAGTAATGGTGTTGTTATCGCTCAGTCTTTGTTATCTTTATTTGAAAATAAAAAATTATAGACTTTGAGCACCTGTTATGTGTTAGATAGTTTCACTGTAATTACCCCATTTATTCCTTGCTATAATATTTAAGGTATGGTGCTATTCATATTTATGGGAGAGCCATCTAGGTTTTAGCATGTGAAACTACAGGTTGATTTAAGGCCTTTCTGGGCCCTAATTCAGTGCTGTCTCAAAAAATTATGCTGCTTCTATAAATGATGTAAAATGACAGTAGATGGTGATAAAGCAAGAAAAGCAGGGTGCTTATCACATGAAAATACAGGTTAACTTAAGACCTTTCCAATTCCACATTTACTATCGCTTGCAACAAATTCTGCTGCTTCAATAAATACTGGAAAGAAAGCTGAAGGTTAATGAGTCACAGCCAAATGGAACAAAAGAAGAGAAATCTGATCACTGAGTGTCTTAGTTTGATGCTGTGATGACAGAGTACCACAGAGAGGCCAGGGATCTAGCTCAGTGGCACAAGCACCCACCTGGCAAGCGCAAGGTCCTGAGTTCGATTCCTGTTACAAAAAAAGAAGAAAAGAAATCAGCATTCAGAATACCACAGCTTGTTAGTTAGAAGAGAAAGTTATTGCTCAGAGTTCTAGAGGCCAGGAAGTTTAAGGTCAAGGGGCCGGCAGGCTTGGCAATTGGAGAGACCATTCTCTTCTAAGATGGAACCTTGCATGTGTGTCCTCCAGGAGAGAGGAAGGTTGGATCCTCACACAGAGAAGGTGCAAGGGCTGAGAGAGAGATTCCTTATATTAGCCCTTGTGTGACGACATTGATGTTCATGGCCTCGTCACCTCTTAAAGAGGTCATCTCCCAAACTAGTACACTGCCATTTAAATGTTAGCATGGGTTTGGGAGGGGCCGAGCAGTCAAACTGTAGCAAAGTAATTGTTCACTGGCTAACATTATCATCACAATTTTCTAATAGGTTTAATTTTTTTGGGGGTATTGGGAATCAAACTCATGACTTCAGGCTCGCTAGGCAAGCACTTATGCCTCTGAGCTACATCCCCGGCCCTCTATTAGTCTTAAAATGAGCAGATACAAAACAAAAATTATAGTGACTTATTCAGATAGCATTTTGGTTTGGCCTCATTTTGATTTTAAAAAACTGGCCTAAAATTCTGTATACATTTTCAGCCTGATGAAAATGGATGATGAAAAGAATAAAAATAATCCTGTTTTAGGAGCATAAAAAATTAATGATTGGTGCAAATACGTATTTTACTCATAAAAGGTTTTTTGTGATAAAAAGTGATGAGAGGCAAGTCAGAATGAAGAAGACAGTCATTCTCATTTCTGATAATTTTTAAATAGGACTCTAAGTAATTTTCACCTTTCTCATTTTTTGTTTGTTAAAAATAATGAAGAAAACGAATTTAAAGCAGTAACAGTATATGAGGACATCCTATGTTTTCAAAAATCTTAAATGTTCTCTTTTCCTTAACATGTACATATACATACAATAGCTTGGAAAGATATAAACAAAGTAAAAATAATGACTCTGCTTCATTCTTCTTTATGTCAGCAGTTCGTGTTTGTGATCATAAGTCTGACTCATTTTTATAACTTTAACAAAGGTGATATTTTAAAAGCAAGTATACAGGAGGCTGAGGCAGGAGTAGTGTTGGGAGTTTGAGGCCAGCCTGGGTACAAAGTGAGCTCAAGACTAGCCTGAACTGCATAGTGAGACCCTGTCTCAAAAAGACCAAACAACAAAAAACCCAAAACAAATAAGAAGAAAGTATACTTAAAATTTAATGCGGTTAATTTATTTTGAAATAAAGAGATTTTAGAATTTATGTGCTAAACATAAATAAAGAAGATATTTGGAAATATGTGACATACAGTGTTGAAATATGCATGTGTTATTTTATAAAATTTTACAGAAAAATGATGGAATAACAAAAATGTGCTTTGAATCATTTATATTTTAATATAAATAACATAGAGTAGATTTGGAAGAAAGAATGAAAATATAGTCTATTTCCATTACAGTGTTTTCACTTAACTGTTTTCAGTGAAAACATTCCTTTTTAAATTCCAGTACTGAACTCAAATTTAACATGAGTGTATTTTTAACATTTCTGACAAATAGCTAAGGTGCAAAAACCTTCCTTTCTTCTTGTGAATTTGTGTAATGCTGACCAACTGAGAAAATATTGAGGCTACTTAATCATAAACTGTGCAAAAATAATTTTAATTTTCTGTAATTTCATTGCATTTCTCATAAAATACTTGGCAAATGCAGCGAAAAAACCACCTGCAGTTTCCTAATAATTACAGGATAACATGGAATAAATAAATATAATCATTAAACAGAACTATTAAAACATGCTTTCCCTTACCCTAAGTCATGTGTGTCTAGGTCACTCGTACAGTTGAGAACCTGATGCAGCTGAACTCTTGGGTTTACTTTGACTTCCCAAGGTGAATAGTCAGCGTGATTTAAATCTTGGAACTTCATCCAAGAGGAAGCTTAACACTCGTGATTGTTTATTTTGTAGGCTTCAAAGAAGCTAGCGTGCTTGGAGAAGACCTTTGAAGTGTGAAAATTCCAGTAGTTGAAACCAAAATGTCATTTATAGATCCTTATCAGCACATTATAGTAAGTCATTTACTGTTTATGTATTCTTTCTGGGCGGGTGAGCCGATATATTTCTGGGTATGTGTATTGCTGGTGTTTCTAGTAAAACAAAACTCCATGACAACTCCTTGGACTTATTATTAAACTCATGAATTTCATGTGGTACACAGGCTCTGGTACATAAGAAAACTAATTCCTATCCTTTTTTTTGTTGCTGTAAGTTTCAAGAAAAGAGGAAACTTGGGAAAAATACCAAAGCACCTATAATAATACTGAGCTCACAGACACAATGTAACTTGTAGTTAGTACTTCCCAATTATCACACTGTATATTCACACCTTTCCTATGACTTAGTGGGGAGAAGATAAATGAATTTCAGAGTTCAGATATATTTTGATATGTATTTGCAGAAAAACTAATTCTGTAAACTTTCCTTTAGAAATGTTTAAACAAACTCTTCTATGGTTGGTTACGTTTTAGTGAAGAATTGAGTAATACGAATTTTAGTAATTGAATGTAATTTTCCCCACTACTGGGGAAATATACATTGTCTCTTCTGATTAAAAAAAAAAAAAGGAGTGTTTTCCTTGTTGAGTTAAACACAAGAGATTCAAGTTTATATCAGTTTGAAATGGGCTTTATGGATATTAAAGAATAATCGGGGCCAGGGTTATAGCTCAGTGGCATAAGTGCCTGCCTGGCAAGCTCAAGGTCCTGAGTGCGATTCCTGATACCAAAAAAAAAGAGAATTAAAAAAAAGAATAATCAATCTGCTGCCTATTTTTACTTAAAACACTTCCTCAACCCACATCCTTCTCTATAGCTGAGTAATACTTCATTATATAAAAATACCCTTTTCTGCCGGGCATGGTGGCACACGCCTGTAATCCCAGCACTCAGGAGGCTGAGGCAGGAGAATCATTTCGAGTGTGAGACTAGCCTGGGCTACAAAGTGAGCTTAAGGCCAGTTTGAACTGTATAGCGAGACTCTGTCTCAGAAAGATAAAAACAAAACAAAATAAAAATATCCTTTTCTAACTAGCATCCTCTTTCTTGCACTGTCTGGATAATATGTTAGAGTTTTTAACTTGAATCATTGAAAATTGCACTAAGCCCTTCCTTTTCTTTTTTTAAACTTTTTTTAATTTTTTTTTTTTTTTTTTTTGGTACTGAGAATTGAACTCAGGACCTTGCACTTGCCAGGCAGGTGTTGTGCTGCTGAGCTATATCCCTAGCCCTGCCCTTCCTTTTTGGTGACAGTCCTAATGAATGTATCCTTGATACTAAATCTAAGGTAATCTTGTTTCTTCTGATCTGCTAATTATAGACAGTTAAAGCATACCTCATAAGTTTGAAATGTCTTATTTTAATAAGCATTCAGTTCAAATATTTTCTTTTGTTGCTATTTCTTCTTTAACATATGTTACACAGATATGTGCTTCTTAATTTTCAGACATTTGATAGTGTTCTAACTTGCAGTATTTTTGTCATTGATATCTAGTCCTGCTTTGTTCAGAAATGCTACTGTATTTTTAATAGTGTTCATATATGCTTATACATTTCCTATTTTGATAAGAATTCCACACGCAAAAGTGTGTTTCATACCTAACTTTTGTTTTTGTATTAATGTGAATTGTATACTTAAAATAGATTTAAAAACCAGAGAATATTTAAGAAGCAAACTGCACTGAATATTGTAAGACTCAATATTAGCACATTTTCTTCCAAATGTTAATTACAGCAAAATATTTAGGCCATCATTATTACCTTTGTGTCATCTGAATATAATAAAATGTCTCCAAACCACGTGTTTATTCCAAGTTTTTCTTTATCTTCTACATCAGGGTTAGACAGTCAGTATTCTAATACAGACCCTCTCAAAAGCAGAGAGTCCCCGTGTGGTGGCACATGCCTGTAATCGCAACACTCGGGAGGCTGAGACAGGAGGATCGTTGTGATTTCGAGACCAGCCTGGGCTACAAAATGAGCTCAAGGCCAGCCTGCACTGCATAGCGAGACCCTGTCTCAAAAAGACAAACAAACAAATCAAACTAAAAGCAGAGAATCCTATGAGCTTTCTTCATTGTAGAAGAAAACTTTGTGCGCACGTGGGTAAGTGTAACTTCTTTTAATGAAAAAAATGCATTGTTCTGGTTTTCACAGAAATATAGCTTTCTAAATATATGCGGGAACATGCTCAACACAAAACGCTATTAGTACAAAGGAAAGAGGCGGAGTAATCAAGCCAGCAATCTAACGAGGATCACCCCGCTGCAGCCAGGCCAAGGCAGTTGCCATTGCCCCGAGACACGGGGCCTGGGCTCGTTTTCGCCGCACCTGCGATGCCGGAACATGTTACAGAATCCTGTGGGCTGATGCGGTAGTTTGCAGCCAACAAGCTGTCTAGCTCCCAGTTGCTGCCTTTAAGAAGGTGGTAGAAACTGGAATGACACATGCGTGTTAGAGTCCAATACCCTTTTGTCTAGAGTCGCTGTGAGGAACTTTACAACTTTAGCAGACATATGTGCCGTCAGCGTTCGTCCAGCCTTTTTGAGCAGGGAAGCATTAACTTTATAAGGAGAGATCAAGTATAAAACATTTATGAAAATTTCCATCTTTTTACTCTGAACCTATGAGTCATATCTTTGGAGTGAAAAACATTCCCATCTCCAGGCAGTGCTGGCCCCTAGTCAGATCCGTCTTAAACCTTGCAGCCAGCCACACGGATCTGCTATTGTGACTACCTGCTATAACACAGGGACCTTTAAAAATATCTTTGCAGGATGACTGGAAGGTTTACCAAAAGGCTAGGAATGAATTATTCTAGATTATTACGGTAATAGAGGAAAAAAAAAAAAAAAAAACACCACCCCTGGCTAAGCAATCAAGGAACTAGTGTTTTTCTGGCAGTTCAAGCCTTACCAGTTGCGTCCCTGTGAGCAGCTGGGCACAGCCTCATCTGGAAAGCAGGTCTGAATGCTACCTGCTGTGTCGGCTTCACAAGGCTTTTGTACATCATAGGTTGTGATGCGCGCACAATTATATGTTTGAAACTTAAAAAGTGAGATGTTTCCAGGGAAATCAAAAAGGTGCAGCTACTGGAAAGTCGTGTATTATAAAAATGACTTGTAACAAAAGCACCGTGCTGTATATGCAAATTAATAATGAGTTTTATGGCACACAGCTTTAGTCTTAAGTACTTGTCATTTTAATAGAAAGAACAATGTTTTCATAACCAAATATTGATCCCTCCCTTTTCTGTTCTTAGTTCTTTATATAACCATCTATTTCTCAGAAAAATCCAGTGAAGTTGATAGTATTATGATTACCTCTTACAGATCAGAAAGCTAGGGAGAAAACTGACACAAAAATGCGAGGTCCTTTTTTATAAGTGCTCTTTTATTTTATGCCTGTGTCTTTTAGTTATGGACCTTTTACTTATTGCTTACTAAGAAGAACAAGTAAAGCAAGGAGAATGATTTGTAAGAAGTCCATTAATGGGCTGGGGATATAGCTCAGTGGCATAACCACCTGCCTGGCAAGCACAAGGTCCTGAGTTCAATTCCTGATACCAAAAAAAAAAGAAGTCCCTTAAAATAGGGCCTCAGGGCCAGGTGTGGTGACATATGCCTGTAATCCCAGCACTCAGGAGGCTGAGGCAGGAGGATCGTTGTGAGTTCAAGGCCAGCCTGGGCTATCAAGTGAGCTCAAGGCCAGTCTGAACTGCATAGGAAGACCCTGTCTCAGAAAAGACCAAAAAAAGAAAAAAAAAAAAAGTAGGGCTTCAGTATCCAAAATGGCCTGTATGCATAACCCTCTTTTCCACTGGTTTTAAAGTTCACATCTGAAGTCATCAGTGCAGTAACATTTTAGCTCTGAATGAACATGACATATATCTAAGCCAGTAATGCTAAACCACATAAATATGTCCTCCCCAGATATCTTTAAAGAATATGCACAGAAAACTTCCCCATGCTGTGCTGCTGTTTGCACTGTAATGAACTCTCAGAAAGATGCAGTTGAACTTATCCTTCACAATGTTCAGTTACTCCAGGTTCCTCCTGCCACAGGGTAGATTTTTTCAGGAGTACTAAAGTAGCAAAAGGGTCATTGAACTTTTGGGGGATGTTATGATTATTTCAGTATCATCAGGGAAGAATCTACATGGTAATTACAGCTAAGGTGCTAACAATTTGGGCAATTATTTCATTGTAGAAATCCTGAGGCAGTTATACTTACTATAAACTCATGGTGAATTTTCATGAAATGAATATTTTAGACCAAAGCTGAGACTGTCAAATATTTCTTTGTGCTACTTTTTACTGCTAAAGCAATTGCTTTAATTGTGATTAAGGTAAACTTAAAATCTTATTGTAATGAAGATAAACTCTGTACTTACTCAATTTTTAAGATAAATGCTTATTTTAGGAAATTTACTGTCTGTAATTATGGAGCAAGCGACAAGTTTTTTGTTCATGGGGAAGAAGAATCTTGCCACATTTCTTATTATGATTTTCTTTTAATGCTTTGCTAGAGTTAACTAGTTCTGTAGCCAACATAGGTGTTTTTTAATTTGTGTACATAGCCAAACCATGACCGGGAATCTTTAAAGCATCATTAGGTCACATCACAGACTGTAAGTAGAATAATGCTGATCATTCCTAAGTGGGAAAAATAACAGAACAATGCCTACACTTCTTTTTTGTGTTAGAATGAAACTTCACACAAGGAATTGAAACTGAAAATAAGTTAAAAAAATAAAAAAGAACCACGACTTAGGGAAATATTAACATAGCATTTTTTAAACACTTCTGAGATCTGTTTGAAGTTGCCTGTCGCTGATTACAGCGATCCCTATCTCTGGGCTCAGTAATGAGATGCTGTAGCTCCTATCGCACTAACAATCTTTGGTTTTGGTTTGGGTGAAGTTAGGCAATGGTAGTATAGTAGAGAAATTGCATTTGCATGCAGAATCTACTTTCTTCCGTTAGATTTATTTAATGACGTGTTTCTTTTTTTCC